GAGCAGGGCTGTTTGCCCAGCACCCTGATGCATTGGGTTTCCCTGGCAGGAGACAATCTTGAATGAGCTTAGACCCACAGGGGAGTGGACAAACCATCTTAGCTTGCTCTGTCCAGAATGTGCCAGAAGTCTTCCAGAGAAGAGACTGAGAAGGTTGTGGGCAAAAGGCAAGTTACGTTGCCTGAATCTTCTTTATTCTTCAATTGCTTCCCCAGCCGCTCTGCTCAGCTCTACCCAACCCTCAACCAGTAAAGTTGCTGGTCCTTGTGTTAGGGTGCTGGGCACTGCCAGGGCCAGGGGAGGGCTGGCCCTACTCCCTTGTTCCTTCCAACAGCAGGAACCTCTGGCATTCCAGGCCCACAGAGAACAGAGCCAGCTCTGGACCTGGGTTTTTTCCTTGGCTTGTCCCCAAGAATAGCTGTCAGGAAGGTAGCACACTAGGTGCCCTGGAATGGCTGGAAGGATTCCTGAGACCTGACTCCCGCTGTTCTGGGCTGGATCATAGGGACCTGGCCAGGGGAAGGCATTCCTGCTTGGTGAGTTGCTCTCTTTCTCCTGTAGTAGGGAGGGATCTGATCTCACTTTGTCCACTCCCTGGCTTCCAGAACCTTCCTTCCTGATGGGAGAAGGATAGGTGCTGGGAAAAGGTAGGAACAGAGATGGAGTCTGAGCAGAATTGCCAGTCCATAATACAAGGCTTAGGTCACTGGAGCTTATTTGGCATTGCCAGTCGGGTGCCCTTGGTTATAGCATCTGTAGACTCAATTTTCTCATTTGTAAAACAGAGTACATAAGAGATCCAGCTCATTCTTTGTAACTTTAAAAACTATTATTGCTGGAGGAAAGCATGAATCTTGCCTGAACCCCGGTCTTCTGTCATTTTCTTCTCTTCTTCCTTGGTGGGACTTTTTCCTGCTCTGCCCCAGGCTCCCCCTCAGCAGTCCAGGTAGATGCTGCCAAGGGGCTACAAGGTGGGCAAAAAGCCCAAGGGATGCATGCCAGGTCACATCTCTCCAACCTTCCCCAACTGGACAAATGCCATTGGTGGCTTTTTCCAAACTGCCTTCCCAGCCTCTGGCCCCTCTCCTTTCACCTGCCAAGACCTGTATTTCTATTTCTGTGTTTTGAAAGCCTCAGGGAGGTGGTGCAGAGTAATTAATGATTGATTCTCAGGCATAACCACCAGGAGGCCCCAGGGTAGGCTGCTGGCCATTTCCCTAGTGTGAGGACAGGTAGAAATCCTATGAGGCTATGGCAGGATTGGGCATATTCCTGAGGGGAGACAGTGGTAAGAAGGCTTCAGGTGCTCAGAGCACTTTGCCCTACACAAAGCAAACAGTAAGTCTTCCCACTGGACACTGGAAGAGGCCACCAGGCCCTCCCCTTCTACCAGGAGCTCTGCTTCCCTCTTTTTAGTTCAAAGAACATTCTATTCACTGTTCCTCTCACAGCATCCCACACACACCTCACCACAGCCCTGCACCCACCCCTACGCTCACAAGCACATGTTCCCTGGCCCTTTTCTCTCAAGGTTCTCACTCAGTGGCCTAAGACTCCTTTGAAAAACTCACCATGCTTTGGGGGAAGGATTAAAGGAACTGACTTCCACTACAAAATGCTAGAGGAGTTTTAACTCTGCCCTTCTTGGGCGTATTGCCTCTGCCTTTGTTGTCTAATAATAATTAACTTTTGTACCTAGCTAGTTTTCAAAGGGCTTTCACATCGGTAAGTCTATTCATCCTCACAACAAAGCTGCAAGGTAGGCTTTACCATCTCTACCTCATGGCATCTCTCATCCTACCAAAGAGGAAACTGAGGATCAGTGAGAAGATACAGTCCCATTTCACACAGTCAGGGTGGCAACACTTACCTTGCAATTCAAAGTGGAAAGCTGTTAATTTTTTTCCCCCTAAAAAATGCACTACAGTCCCAGGAATGGCCCATTATGTAAGGGTAGGTGGGTAAGGATCTGGCTGTCAGGGCAGAGGTCTTCTCCTATGCCTGGCCTCCAGAAAGACTTCACAGTGAAACTCCTGTGCCTTCATGTCAAAAGGGAGGATATGGTTTCAGGTCTCTTCTGCTGTGGTACCTGGGATAGCCCAAAGAATGCTGGGGTTTAAGGGGCAGGGCATCTGAGCCAGGAGGCATCAGATTCCACCAATGCAATAGAACACCCATAGTCATCCATTAGTCAGTTGAAACTCTGAACTGCTTACAAAAGACCCCAAACCACTCAGTTCTAGTCAACTAGTAAGACTACTCAACCTGGTTTTCCAGGACAGCCCCAGATTTTAGTATGGCAAATCTCAGAAGTAGGGGCACCTTTTGGCTTTATCTGGGGCAAACCAGAAAGTTCATCCCACTACCACCATGGATTGCAGTGGAAACCTGGAAAGACCGTCTTCTGAGTGCTCATCAGATTAACATAGAATTAAAGTCACAGAATATTATGTAAACTCAAAAAGTTGTTAGAGTTACCTCAGATTGTTGCACAGGATTGGAAGATTAAGTTTGAAGGAATGTTTATTTCCACAAAGAAACACTCAAAAATGTGGTCAAATTTCTCAGATTTTTAGAAGCAAACCAGCACTAATCATTTTTTTCTACTTTTGCATTTTAATGTTGGCAACGCATTATATTTTTTTGGAAGAAAGCGGAGTATAAAGATTATAACTAGGCTTAACCTCCAGGCTGCTGATTGATGATCTTGGGAGAAAAACTTATAGACCTTAAGTCTAAGAAGAGGTAAAGGTTTTTTTTTGTTTGTTTGTTTTTGTTTTTTTAAGGCGCTTTTAATTTTCCACTGAACTGGCAATCAAGATGCAAATGTATTTTGAAGTTTCAGGAGATATCAAAGGGAGACGAGATTTTTTTTTGATGCCTAAAAGAAAACTTTGAGTTAAATATCTCTTACATTTTCCTAAAGCAAGTGACACCAGAGAGGTAGAGTTGGGGAACTGTTTAATGACATTTGGGAGGCAGGGGATCTAGGGGAATCAGGAAGTGCAGATGGACCCAGGTCTGATTTTCAATCCTAATTAGCAAGCAAGGCCAGTTGTATTTATTTCTGCAATAGGGGCTCAAGTGTTCTTACTTCTCATTGGTTCTAGACCAACTCTGCTAAGTGTCCTCCTAGTCAACTCTGTTGCCTGCAGCCAGTGGCAGGGGTGCCCTTGAGGTGTGTGGGTGTGGTCTTCCTTGATAAGATACTGTAGGCAGGCGCACATTGCATTTTCATATCTAGAATTTAGAATATTTGGATAACTTGTGTTTCGCTCAAATATGGAAAAGGAGACTTTCGTTGATCAGTAAAAAGGGTATTGGCCAGAATGGATTCATTTGTTTTAATGGTTATTGGTATTTATTGGACACTTGTCTTGGGTAAATCTTCTGAGGTTTACAGAACTGTGTGGACAAGGCTTGCCAGAAAGCCTGGGGTCCTGCCTCCTGTGGGGAGGGAGAAGACATTCTCTGCTGTGGCCTGCTGATCCTGTGGCTTCTCCCACCAGTCAGGGCAGGAGTCAGAGCTGTATAATGGCCCTTGAGGTCCTTAGATCCCATACTATGACCTGACATCCTTCCACCTTCTTTCCCCAGAAAGATTTGGCCAGAGAATCAGGACCTTCCAAAACCACAGAACAATTCTAAATAACAATGTCAGAGAAGCATTTAAGACAATGGCACAGCGATGCAGCAGCAGGTGCTTTCATTTAGAACCCTTTACTAATGTGGAAGATTCATTGAGGAGGACACACATTTTCTTTTCACAGAATGACTGAATTTCTCCTAAATCAAGAGATGAGAAAGACTGGATAGGAGGAGGTACTGAAATGACTTATTTTTTTAATTCAAAATGTTGTTTCTGAGTTTTCACACACAGGTGCATGCATACATCCCCCTGAAAACCCATGTGTCATTACCACCCCCCCCCCAGCTTCCTTCTCACTCTACCAATCTGAGTTTTCACACACAGGTGCAGGCATACATCCCCCTGAAAACCCATGTGTCATTACCACCCCCCCCCAGCTTCCTTCTCACTCTACCACTTAGACTTCAGATCCCAGGGCAGCCCCTCAAGGCAGAACTGTCCCTCCAGCCCCAGAGGGCTGTTCTTTCAACTGTAATCCTAAATCCAGAGATCTTGTCTGAGATTAGGGGGACTCACTGGCCTGTAGGCGCTCCAGAACATTGTTCCCCATGTTCACATGATCACCCTGCACACAGATTCTGTCAGAGAGTAACTGAAGATGGAGGTGGCAGCTATTGCCACCACTAAAGGTCTTCCATTTCTTCCCAAAGGATGCCTTCTTACCCACATCCAAACCCCTAGTTATAGAGACTCTACAACTCCTACAGCCATGGCCACAGGTCAGCCCAAGCCTGTCCCTTCCTAAGGCCCAGGATGAGGTGGAATCTAAGCCCTCATTACTTCTTTCAAACTGTTCTCCCAAGTTCAGAATTCCCAAAGGGGGAAAAAGAGAGCAAATGGATAAAGATGGCTCTGTGGCACAAAAAAAGTGGCTTCAGGGTTGTTCAGGAAGCTGCTCTGGAAGAGGACCACACCACTGTCAAGAAAGAGGGAGCATCTTGCCTGCAACTCTTGTGAGCAGGCTTCTTGAAAGTTCCCTCCCAGAAAAGAAAGGGCTTACTCCCCAAGGAAGGCCCAGGAGCTGAGGAGGGCTGGAAAATATCACAGAGGGACCTTGAGCTCACTCTGGTGGTCAGGGACCCCAAGAGGTCCCAGAGAACCTCATCTTCAGGCCCTGAGGCTTCCATCTCCCGCTCCCGGAGTCTTTCCAGGCCTGCTGAGTTAGGGCTCAGCTACCTCCCTCTCTTTCTCCGCTGGAAACAGAAGCTCCAGCGAATGTTTCTAACTCCTGAGTCCACTCAGCCATGTCCCCCTTGCAAAATCCTCCCCTTCCCTCACCCCCCTGCACCCAGCCAGCCAATCCGCGGCCTGCGAGCCTCGCCAGACCCATCTCCCAGGGCCTCGGCGGGATAAAACTGGTCGGCGATGCCGGGTGGATGGGAGCAAACTTCAGAAGGAAGAGGAGACGCGGGGCCCAGGGCACCCTCAGGGGCAGACCCAGGCAGTGAGGGCCTGAGGCCAGTCGGCCAGGTATGCGGCCCAGGGACTGGTTGGGAAACTGCGGGGCGTGTGAGAAGGAAGAGGGTCCCAGGAAGAGTGACAGCCTTTTCCCTCCTAAGTTAAGTGTGTTAAGACTGGGACAATGGAGAGACAGGACACTGGGCTGGAGTTTGGGGCTTCCTCTGCACACCCCCAATCTCGGATCCTCCCTACAGGCTTGTTAGCTAGGCCAGGCTGAGGTTGACCTCACTTCACCTATAAATCCTCCACTCTTGGCTTGTGATGGAAGTCTAAGGGACCCGACCTGGGGAGGGGGTGTAGGGCTGGGGCTTCGAATCTCATGCCCCTTCCCCTGGGTCTGTGTAGGGTAGTGGCTCGGCGGCTGCCGGCGCCGCCAGGACCAGCGCAAGAGAGCCGCGAGTGTTCCGCAGGCTGCCAGCGAGTCTCCGGTGATGCCTCACAACTCCATCAGATCCGGTAAGGACGCGGAGGGGCCAGGACCCCCGGAGCCCCCGCGCCACCATGCGTCCGTGCGTGCGCTTGGGTCCCTATGGCTAGAGAGCTCCACGCTCCCGGCTGGCGGAACCCACCTGCGTGGGGACGCAGCTGGGGGCGCCCCGGGCCTGGCTTTCCGCTGGGGATTCCCTGGCTGTTCTGTTCTCGAGTGCCCCTCGGCCCGACTGAATCAACCTTTGCAGGCCTTGGTTTCGGCGGACCACACGGAACGGTGAGGGGTTATCTGTGGGGTCACAAGGGTTGTCCTTTGCACCCCACAACCATCTTGCACGGCCCACGAGGGTGAACATCCTGCATATTCTTGGGCCCTGGGCCGCGCAGGTAATTCCTGGTGTCTGGGCGCGTGCAGCTCTTCCCAGGACTCCCCAGGGGACCGTGAGTGCCCGCAGGTCTCAAGCCCAAGAGGAAAGGTGCCCGGGGTCTGGGTCTGGGGTCTGGGAGCCAGGGGCACACTGCTGTTATTGGATTTCTCCTTGCCCTGCCTGGGCCAGGCGAGGACAGACGCTCGGGGCATCCACTGGGAGGACTAGGCTGCCAACAGATCCCAGTCTTTCCCCACCACCACCACCCCCAACCTGCGCCGGGGCCCTGGGCCTTCAGCAACGTTCCAGCTCAGAGCAGCGGTGCCTGCTCTGCCCGCTCTGGGCCGGGGCCGGCGAGGGCTACACGCGGAAGAATCCCCGGGGTCGAAGCTGGTGGACGCTATGGGCTCCGCTACCCAGTCGGGCAGCCAGTGCGGTCAGCTGGCTGAGGTGCTACTCGGCCGGCGGTGATGAATGGAGCCCGGCTGGGCGCAAGGAAGGCGATTTATGGGGCCAGGGCGCATCGCTATCGATTTGGGCCAGCGAAGTGAGAGGAAATCAATATTTCAGATGAATTCTCGGCGAATATGAAGTCCCGCTCAGCAAACGGGACATTTGTTATAATAAGGAGGGTCGGATCCCGCGCGAAGCGCGGCTGAGATCTCTATTTAGCTGAGAGCGCACGGGGTCGCACCTTGAGGTGCAGTCAGGAGTCCCAGGGTCCAGACCACCCTAGGAAGGGCACCGCCAAACTCCTGGGGTGAGGTTAGGTTTCCTCAGCCAGGTTCCTTTAAAGCCGCAAAGGCATCAGCCGGACGCGCGCTCTCCGCCCTCGCCTCCTCGGGGGCTAATGGGGCGGGAGCGGTCCCAGCTGCCCCCTGCAGACTTGGGATCGCTTGGGTACAGACCTCACCGCACTTCCCCGGGGGTTGCAGGGGTTGCAAGGCCCGGGGACCTGGTGAAGCAGCCTGGACCCCTGATCCGGCTGCTCCTGGGGACCCGGCGCACTCCTGTACCGCTTCCTAAGGCCAAGACAAGATTTTAGCCCCTTGTCTTTAATCAAACCGCGGTACAATAGCGGACACCGCCCCTGCCTCGGGAGCAGGACTGTAGTCCAGGCCTAGCTCGCGGTGCCCTAACCCAGGTTCCAAGTCTGGCTGCTCCTAACCGCTCCTGCTAGATACCCAAGGTTTTGGGTTTACCCTGCCTCGACCTTCTTCTGACCTTTCAGGCGACTGCAGGAGTAGGTGCTCAGCTGGACCCTTCCCCACGAACGCTTCCTTAGAAATAAAGGTGTCATGGTTCCTTGGGTTCACTTTATTTTCACTTTAGAAACACTCCTTAGAATAAATGGAAATAAAAGAAGGGGGGGCACCATTTGCTTTTACTTGATTCTCCATCACCAACAGTCCCAGTAGCTGAGAGGCACTTTCCCATTAGCTCTGAATGCAAATCGCCCTTGGGTTTGAGTGGGAGACGCCTGCCCTGGGCCGGCGCCCTACATCTTTCTGTCTGGGGAAGTAAAAAAGGGCCTCTTTTACTCCTTCCCTCAAACAAATGAAGAAATAAAACCGCTAAGGAGTCAGAAAGTGACTTTTCCCATCCCTTTAAATTAATGCTTAAAAAGAAGAAAAGTAGCTAAAAGAGCCCCAGTGGTCTGTCCCCTGTTTTTCTCCTAACTCCTGTCTAGGCAAAGCTGAGCTGGAGACTGTCTTTCTGACCCGTTTACATGACACTGTGGCCCCTACTTAGAGAGAACTTCATCGCTGACCCCTCTTGTTTTTATAAACCCATCCTTTAGGTTTTAGCTGTTGGTCCCACAGGTCCTCCGGCCCCTCCACTTCTAAGATCGGCTGTACATGGCGTCCACGGGTGTAAGGTGCCCATGGACCGAGCTCCAGCCCGCTGGCGTCCGCCCAGCTTTTCGCCAGAGCGAGGCTATGCGCCCCAAGTCCACCCATCTCAGCCGCCCTACAAAAAGTTTCCTCCGGGTCCAGCCCAGGCTGGGGCGGCTCACCCTCCGCTAATCTAGCTTTGCAAAAAGGTTTTAACATCTTTATAGCCTTTTTTCTGAATGATTAGTGTGTGGTGAGAACGAATTATTTTGATGCTTATAGGTCAACGATGAGTTGAAAGTTCCATAAAATACGCGGGAATTTTGTTGTTGTTGCATCAGGGAACAAAATTCTCTAAGAGCAGAAACATTGTTTTAAAAAAATACTGAAAGACGCATAAGAAATTATCGGCACCACGTAAACGTTAAAATGTAAACAATACTGTTTGATGAAGAAGAGAGCTTGTAAAGCAAGCAGATTGCCATTAAAAGTTGTGTGGTAGAACTTAAGGAGAACCTGTCCCCTTAGTCCTGAAAAGGTCATTTTAGCGGTAAAATAAGAAGTAAGATCAATGAAGGAGAAAGAACGCATAATTTCCAGATCAAAGACCTAAAACCCATGCCTTCCTCTTGGTCTTAGATTTGGAGAAAAGAGGTATAAACTACAACTGGAAAGGTTCTGTTTTCTTTCCAGGATTTTTGCCTGGCTTGAAAAAGAAAAAGGAAAAAAAGGTTTTCTTGGGAGGAGAAACGGAGTCGAGGAACATAAAGAGGTATTGGGGTTCCTCAATTCATCTTTGTTTCAAGATGGTCTAGCCTCCCGCCCTCCTCAATGCAAGTTAATTAGGAGATAATTTAGCTGCCTTGTGAATTAGTTTTAAGATAAGTATCTTTTCAAGCGTTGTCACTTTAATTGCCCCACTGATTGATAAGAAGTAATTATTTCTAATTGACACTTTTTTGATGTCTATTGGAAGCATTTATTTGGGACCTTTTGGGGGTAAAAGGAAAGTTAATTAATTTTATCAGTCTACACCCAAAAGGACTTTGCCAATTTTTTTCTGGAGAGCACAAAGGAAATGGAGGAGACAAAACAAAAATCAGTATCGTGGAGTTTTAATTATTAAGAGGCATTTTGATTCAAGGGGGGTCATTTATTAATATACTAAATCAGAACTTTCTGTTACAGCCTCGAATCTCTCATTTTAATAAGTGTAACTATTGTGGACATACAGTTTCCGTGGGTGGGTGTATTCGCTAGCCCTTTGGAAGCTGGTTTCATTTTGGAGCAGGTCTCTCCACTTTGTAATTATGTTTTTTTAAAGAAAAAAATCAGTGAAACTTGGTATGCTTGGAACAAATGGAATCAGTTTTTGTAAGAGCTAATTGTAAGAAAAATTTACTAACAATCTTCCTTACCCTCTGTAATTATTGCTGGAGTTGGGTGTAAAGGTGAAACTTTTCTTATGGTGACATGCCATCTCATACCTAAACCTTGGAGTAAACAGTTTAATCATTGACAGACATCCTCCGGAACATTTTAGTGTGAGAGAGAAAAAGACAGGAAAGAATAAAGAAAAAGAAAGAAAGTGAAAAGGAGGCGATGAGGGTGGGGGAGAGGAAGGTAGCTGGGGGAAGAAAAAGAAAGCACTTTAGAAAGAAGGTGGCCAAGTTCAGGGGACCCAGCCTTTCCATATCTAAAAAAAAAAAAAAATTTAAATCCTACTTTCAGAACATTCTTTTGACCACAAAATCTTTACCACAGCCCCTAAACCACCCCGAAACACTAACCCAAGCTCCTACTTTTCTATGCTTAAAAAGAGGCAGACTTTTTGGCAACCAACTGGTTACATGTAGCTATCAGAGTTTTGATTTGAGGGTCCATGAAAAGGAAGCAAGAAAATGCACATTGTGTTCTGAGAATTTACAAAAACATCTGGGTGGTGGTGTTTTTATTTTGTTCTGAAAGCCCCCATTCCATGATCTTCATCTCTCGCTGCCTACGGGTAACCTTCTCATAGGTAGACTAAAGACTTACTAACATAAGAAATATATTCCTGAATTAAACTGAAGAACTTGTGGATACGCAAAACACACATACACACACACACACACACACACACACACACACACACAACACATTGGTGCACCCCCGCCCCCCGCCTCAAGAGAGGAACATAATCACCTAAGATTTGCTCCTGTCAGGTTAATTCAGCCAGTGCCTTTTTCAATCATTTATGTGTAAAATCTTGTCTGTTTTTAATGATGTTTCTCCCAGATTATGTAGAGCTGCAAGAATGAGGAAACATTTCAAATGAAAAAGAAATTTAAGACGTACAAACAGCAGATAATATCACATACCAACCTCACTATTAGTGAAACTGGAAAAATATATAAATAATGCAAAAAAATCAGCAAGGGAGAGTTTAGTAATGGAAAATTCCCCTGCAATTAAATGAAACAGTAATTTAGTGGAGATATGCCTGAATGAATTAGCATTTATTAATTGGCTCTCATAAAAACAATTTGTGTGTGCACGTGTGCACACGCGTGTGTTGTGGGGGTAATGTAGAAATTATATATTTATTTTCTGCAGGGAAATTTCCTCAAATGTTCCTGACAAATTATGTTCTTACCACATTTTTGTGTGTGTGAGAAATTCAGTTCTTTCACTGGCAAATTTTATCTGCAGATAGAGAGCTGGAGGTCCAAAAAGATTCCCGTGTGACCCACCTTCTCTGGGACACAACTAACTGAGGCATAGAAGGCTGCTTTCTGGTCAGGGTCCCTAACCAGCCTGCTGGAGCATCCTCCCTGGTTCAGGC